CTAGTCAGAATTCATGAGAATGATACGATAAAACATGAATTTCATATATAAAAATAAGTTTACAAAACAAAAGAAATAAAAATACAACTTATCTCACAATCTTTCCCAAGCAAATCTCTAGAAGTTCTCTCCAAGCCTTTCTCTCTTTACAATCGCTCCCAAATCTCTCTTAGAAATGTAATGAAGAAGAAATCTCTTACCTTACCTCTCCTCTAACAATCATAGAAGAAAATCTCCTCTTCTCTCTCTCTCTCTCATGTCAAACCAAAAGCCTCTCTCTTTTTTCGTACCCCTCTAGCCTCTTCAAGTCCTCTTCTTTAATTTGGGATGCCTCTTGAAATAATTCCCTTCAAAAGAAAATTCCCTCCAAAGGTCAACTCGTTTGAATTCAAAAGATGTATCATTTGATCCAAGAGTCATATCCCTTCATAAAAGAACCTTCCAAAGTATCTAGATTCATTGAATTACTCCAAGAGGTGTGTAAAACAGGTGTCCCTTTGAAAATTCACGCAAAATTCATCTCAAACCACCTTAATTTGAAAAAGTCATCCCTGGCGCATCATGCGCTAGCTCTCTGGATTTTGGTGCATGATGTGTCAGAATCCAAAATTGGCTCTTTTGCTCCAAATTTTGTCTTTTTTTTGCCATTTTTGCTCCAAATTTTGTCTTTTTTACCATTTTTGCTCCAAATGCCTAGCAATGATATACCTGCAACCAAAACAAAAAAATTACCTTCTTTAAAGTGCAATATCACAAAAAATAAACATAAAATAAGTACTTAAAATAATATATTATTTTTTTGTATCAATGTGCTACAAGAAAGTCCGCTAGAATCTATCATTTGATAGCACGAAGAGGCATGAATGTTATATCAAATTGCAATAAAATCATTGACCACCTTGCAAACCTACTAGAAAGCATCGGGCGGGTCATTAAGTATTACAACAAATTAAATTTTGAAATCAGGTTGAACTTATGGGAAATCATGTAATGTCTATACTTTTGAGCGGTGAAAATAAAATTTAGACAATGTTTCTCACTAGGGCGATACTTTACCTCTGCCGGTATTAGACGTCGACCAAGTAGTAGAGTGCATTTTCCTTTCCCTCATAATTGACCTAAGCTAATAGGGCTCTGAGATAGTAATCTAAAGCTGTGGTGTAAAGTGTCAATGGTCTTCTCAGAATAGGGGCTACTAATACATGAGGTGTCATTAAGTATTGTTTAATTTCTTCAAAAGCTCATTTGCATGCATCACCCCAATAAAATTTGGCATCTTTTCTGAGTAATGCCAAAAATTGCTGACACCTTCTTGATAGATTAGAGATAAAGCATCTTAGGTATGCCAACTTTCCTTGAAAAGATCATAATTATTTCAAGGTTTTGGGAGGTGACATTTTTAAGATTGCTTTAAGCTTCTCCGAATCGATTTTGATTCGCCAATGACAAACAACGAATCCTAGAAATTTCTTAGAGGCAACGCTAAAAATACACTTTAAGTGATTCATCTTAAGATTATATTGCAGTAATCATTCAAAAACAATCCTCAAATCACAAAAATGGTTATTCTTTTTTTTTGCTCTAGATGACCAAGTCATCCATGTAGCACTCAACTTAGTTATGGATGAGGTAATTAAAAATCCTTACCATGGCTCGTTGAAGGTTTCTCTTGCATTCTTCAACCCAAATGACATTAATGTGTAGTAGATGATCCCAATAGATGTCCTGATGGTTGTAAGCATTGAATCTTCTGGGGCCATCTTAATTTGATTGTATCTGGGTGATCCATCCATGAAAGAGAAAATTTTGTATGACAACGAGATTTCCACCATCAACTAAGGTATTAGTAGGGGAAAATCATCCTTTAAACACACTTTGTTTAAGTTCTTTAAGTTGACATACACTCTGATTGTCCATTTTTTTAACTGACACGACGTTGGCTAACCATTTAGGGTATTGCTCATCTCGTACAAAGTTAGCGTCTATTAATTTCTTCACCTCGGCAATGACTTGCTGCTCTCTTTTGAGACGCATTCTTCTAGGAGATTGTTTTACTGGAGTCATACTCTAATCCACTCCAAGTCTTTGAACTGCAACTTGTGGAGACAATCCCGACATTTCATCGTAGCTCCAATGTGAAACAATCTTTGAATTCTGACAACAACTTGCACATAGTGGTTGATTTGATCATACATCGACACATATTCACTTTTCTATTCATCCTCCGAGGAGATCCCAAACTGAGGCTTCTTTTGGCTTACTGTCATTGCATCTTTCTCGGACTTATTCTCTTCAGAGCTTCCTTTCATGTCGATGTTGATAGTTGGATTCTTCTGTTCAACAATCTTATTAGTTCTTCCTTGCTCGCATCCCCGGCCTTGATCTTGGATGCGTGAGCTAGAATAACTTCCACCATCTCATTGCAAAGGAGTGATGGGAGATCATTGAATTGGATCTTGATGGTCATGTTTATGCGATCCCTTAGAGTCTTCAATCTTGTTTAACATGACGTCCTTGGAAAAGATGGTCCTCTTCGGGGGAGCATAGTAGGTGGCATCCTCGTCAATGCCTACTTCATGTATTGAGAATGACCGTGAATCTCCATTTATGCAATACTCTTGTCATTCTTTATAATATTTAATGCATTGGTGTAGCGACGACATGAACAAATTATGCTCGTGAATCCACAATCGACCAAGCAAATCATTAAAAGAAGTTTCTACCTTGATGATATGGAATTTTTTTGTCATTATTAGATCACTAACTTTCATTAATAGCATTATCGACCCAAGTGCTCTTTCTCCCTTCTAGTTGAATCTTTTAAGCATCATCTTATCGATGGTAAGCTCCTGTGTATCCATGTCCAAATAACTGCAAATCTTTGCACTCACATTCCCACAGAGCTCCACACAACATAAATTTTCACCACAAATCTCTACACACACATTTGAACAGAATTCCACACAGCATAAAATTTTTCAAACTCCACATAAACCTTCACAAGATTCAACACCATCTTTGCAAATTTTCACAATCTTTGTATTCACAAAATTTGGCAAATCTTCACAATTTTGCAACTTCGCAAGTCTCCATATCTCCACAAATTTTTGCAATTTTGCAGCACCTCTACACTCTCAAAAATCTCTACAGAACACCGTACTTACCACAATTTCATAAATTCTCGCATTCCACAAATTCATAAACTCAGAATTTGGAATAAGTGTAAGGCTCTCTTGATTGGATCACATTATTCAATTCCTTTCTCAACACTCAGCATTTGGGATAGGTGTAAAGCCCTCTAAATGGATCATGTCATCTGATTCATTTCTCAGCACTCGACATTTAGGATAGGTGTAAGGCCCCCTTAAATGGATCAAGGCATTTGATTCCTTTCTCAGCACTCTGCATGTGGGATAAGAGTAAGGCCCCCTTAAATGGATCACGACATCAAAATCCTTTATTAGCACATTTCTGATAGGTTCAATCTTAATCCTTTCTTAGCACATTTGGGATAGGTTCAATCCTAATACTCTCTCAGCATTTGAGATAGGTTCTATCCTAATCCTTTCTCAACACATTTAGGATAGGTTCAATTCTAATTCTATCTCAGCATATTTGGGATAGGTTTAAATCTAATCATGTCTCAGAACATTTGTGATAGGTTCAATAATAATCCTTTCTTAGTACATTTGGGATATGTTCAATCCTAATCTTTTCTCAGCATATTTGAGATAGGTGTAAGGACCCCTTAAATGGATCACACATCCTAATTCTTTCTCAGCACATTTGGGTTAGGTTCAATCCTAATTTTTTCTCAGCACATTTGGAATATGTATAATCCTAATCAATCCTCAATAATTTTAGGATAGTTGTAAGACCCCTTTAAACGGGTCACATCATCCTACTCCTTTCTCAAGATTTGATACCACTTGGGGATGTGAGTCCATATGCTTTTCCCCCTAAGGTGGCAGACACTTTTCCTGAATAGCTTTTGAGTTGGATGTGAAGTCCCTATGCTTTCCTGTTCAAACTGGTCCCAAAATAGATCACAACATTCAGAACAAATCAAAACAACCAAAACAAAAACATAACAAACGAAACAAATCAATGACAATTAAAAACACAATCTAAATAATAAAAAAATCAAATCATATTGAAAGCTCAAATTCACAGTCACAAATTAAAAGTAAACCGGCGAATCCCCATCAAAAACTTAACTCCACTTCAATTCTAATTCATTCTTTGATTTGCTCGATGTATTATTACTTGGACATGTCGTTGAGTTCTGTTGTTCGCTTCGGTCAACACCAATAGGCGTGACGTACTTGTGTAGCACACTGCATTTATTGGGGGTCCATTTTTTTACCACAATTTTGAGGTCTTTCTTTCCCTCTCCATATAACCTAGGATCTAGCCTAAGGATTTCCTGTTTGACCCTCCTAGAGGACTAGACTGGGACCCATAATATTTAAAAATTCAATCAATTTCTTCATTCCTTGTAGTTTTATATGGGCGATTTCATATCCTCAGTGTTTGTTTGAGTCGATTAAAGCCGACATATTGAAGCTCAAGTTAAGTTCCCATAGGGATTTGAAAGCCATAAGAGGACTCTATGGTGTATGATGGTTGACTTGTTGCCAAGAGCGATCTGCTTAACTTTGTTTGTTGCTTAAGCAATGACTGATCAACAATTTTGCTCGCTAAACGGCTCCGATCGGACCAAATAACTTCATTTGTTGCGACGTGCATGAATTAAAGTTAAATTGGTGTGATCATGAATGAACTTGTCCTGTTCACCCCGGATGACAAAACAGATAACACAAACGCGTCCAGAATGTTCATTTTACATAAAAAGAACATCCATATTATTAGAGCTCTAAATTGGGTTAAATTGTGCATAAACTTACAAATTTGAGTAAAATATAATGTTAAAATAAAAAATGGAATTTTTTAATAAAAAATAAACCCACGTCTCTTCGCTTTCGAAACTGTCGGACCGATTCTTCACGGATCCCCGCTCAGGCCTCCTCTCTCCCGAAATTTCTTGCTGGTTTTCCGGTCATCTTATTTCTCTCAAGACCTATCCAAACCTCGCCGTCGGTCGCTTCCCCGGTAACTGTTTTTTCCTGCCTAAATGCATAACCAAACCTTCCTATGCTTAATTCTTGGTCAGTTTTTTACTTAGGTGGCATTTCTCCTCACCACCGGTGAGTTGCTTGGTAAGTACCTTTCCCCTCCACGGCTATAAATACCCCCTTTGGGGGAGGTTTTGGAGGGATGATTATTTCTTGGATTTGAGTTTTTTTTCGTTTGTTGCTTCCTCTGAAGTTCACATTTTCTGGTTCTTTTTGTTTGTTGCTTCATCCAAAGTTTACATTTTCTGGAGGTAAGTCTTTCTTTCCTTTTCTTCCTTCTATAGCCGTTTACTGTGGTGTTCACTTTCATTTTAAATGTTCTTTATATCTGTACTTTGTAATTGAGAATTAAAGGTGGAAGTTCTCAGTTATGAATTGATGGATTAACAGTTCTTTGCAATTTCAAATTATTGGAGTTTACATTTTAGTTTGATTATTTCTATATAAAGGAAGTGATCCTGGATATAGCATGTGCATCAGAATATCTTCCTGATTATTGTTGGAAACTGGGAAGGCTTGATACTTTTTTTAATGAATAATTGATCATTATGTGCTTGGCGGACAAAAGTTGAATCACCACCAGCAAAATTTCATTCTTACATCTTCTTTGATTCAATATCAATGGATATATAAGTTTCATTTCCTGATAATTTAGGAGGTATTTTCTTTATTACGGAATACTTGGAATGGTTAGATCCTTCCCACATTTAAGTTTATGAAAAACCTTCGGTTCAGTTATATGAATGGCATTTCATTTGTCTTTCCCGCTTTGAGGGAAGTTTTGCACACACGAATTTTGTGGAGTTTTACTTCCATCCGAGTTGTTGTCTCAAGGTTTCTTACTTTTTTCATTCTTGATCTAGTAAGCACCTGGAAGTAAAAGTTTTCTTTCTTTTCTGGTTAATGGATCTATGACTCCTTGCCATACTTTCTGTTGAGGGACATTATATTTTGATATCTAATTAGTCAACTTTTTTTCTTACTTTCTCACGAGTCAGTTGTGATAATTTCTGTTGATTTAGCGATTGTCTTAATGGAAAGGTGATTCAGTTTCTTTAAAGAATTCTTATGCCTGAAATCTTTAGAATAGCAAGAATTTCTTCTCCTACTTTGTTTGCTTCTTCAATTGTTGTATGGTGAAAAATACTTCACTTAGCATAAGAGTTTCCCTGCTTTGTTGATTTTTTTCTTATTCAATTCCCTAATAAATTTAAATCTATATTACTTCAATTTGTGAAGACCCTACTGTTTCATTAACAGATCAATAATGTATACCTATTGAATAACTGAAATCCAATTCCATTGCACATTATTTAATTATTTACTGTTATTTGTACCACTCTTTGTATTTTAAATAGTTTTGAGGTTGAAATGGTGATGCGATTAATTTTGTTTCATGTTGGATAGACATATACAGTTCAGTACTTTCTTGAAATTTGAGATAAGTAATCTGCTATTACACTTGAGACTTGGATTGCTATGTATCATTTCTATTAAAAAAAAAAAAAAAGAAAGGAGGGAAGAATGGATAGAGGTTATTCATTTCACCCTGAATTTATATATATAATACAATTATTTTAGTATTTACATATCCAACATCTGATTTTTTTTATATAACTCATATCATTTATATCATTTATATCATTCAATTTGTATATTTTATGATTTATGGACACCTTTTTTTTTTTGAATTCTGGTATCCATCATAGAAATCAGGCATTGAGTTCGATTGGTATAAATGCCAATCTATTTATAAATTTTCATGATTAATTACCTAAGAAGCTTTATTTCTTTCATATCAATACAGTTGGATGTGTCATATAGATATGCGAATAATGGATTCTCTGTTTTTCCTTGTGAAATTTACATACATACCACTCGATTCTTATACCGTTAAACATTAAAGCAATACAAATGCAAGGGAGGCTTTTACATTTGCACCTCTTAAGTTCTGTATATTTATTAAACCTTATGTAGGTTTGCTTAAACATCAAGCGTTGGGTGTATACACTGGGATTTCTATTTGTTGTAGTTGGCTAATGCTATATTTGTTCTTTGAGTTTATATTAGTGGTGTACCTTATCATCAAAGTCTTTGGAAGATGAATCTTTCTCAAACAGATAAAAAAATTGATTTTATGACTGATGTCTTGCAAGAGATGGTTAGGAATGAAAGTCATTATGAAATAAAACTTCGGTTATTCTTCTTTAAACAGTTTACACTATTCGTGATGGCCAAATTTGATTATATAAGAATACAAACACACTGCTCTTTAGAAAGTTGTAATGTATACAATGTTTACATTGATATACTCAAAGTTTGAACTTAAAGGTAGAAGGCTGATGTTACAAGAATTATTTGGAAGTTTATTTCTCCCAAATCTCTTGATGTGAGATATATAAAATTATTGTTGATATGCATATGGAATATGATGTTGTCTTATAAGTTGGAAAGTACGGGGTAAAGGCGATGATGTAAAACCACACATGCTTATATAGCTGAAATTTTAAAACCAATATCTGATTAGTAGTTGCCCTTTTCACTTCTATAGGTTATTGGTGGCTTTAACCTCAGCTCTAGATAACTTGTGAACTGTGGTTTTATAGTATTGATTGTTTGGAATTTAGAAATTATAAAAATACAAAAACATCACATACAGAAACATCACATACAAAAACATTAAATACATATGACACATATGGTTGAGGAGGTTACGTTTTACCTGTTCGCTCGTCAATCATCTGAGGGGGATTTGAGGCAGCCCAACCTTAGAGTGTTTTGCTGGTGGCTGTTATTCAATATTGGTATAGACTCCGTTGCCTCAGTTGCCATTGGATTTTGATGAATAAAAGTCTATAACTGAGCCTATTCCTAATTCAAATTTTTGTACCCTTTTTGATTTTCAATATGCATATCACTTAACATTTTCGTATGAAAATATGTTTGCTCAAGTTTCCATATTTAAATTTCAAATGTTTGTCTAACCCTTTTTCTCTTATATACACTTTTATTATACAATTGTAATTTGTTTTATAGCATCATCAAAGACAATAGGTACACACTGACCTTTTCTCTTTTACTGCACTTTACTTTATATATTTGTTCATACTTGCACTATTATTACTGCTGCTACACTTTACAGTTATTACTCTTTACCGCTGCTACTTTTTACTGCTTTTCTGGCATGTATTTATGTAACCCTAGGCTAACAAACATAAGACATGTTTAAGATTAGTACCCGATAACACTTGACCAAAAATATACTTTTTTAACTTTGACACCTTTCAAAATTTCATAATAAAACACTTTTTACAAATCATAAACAATAACCTCAACACATTAATGGTAACATAATAATAAAATTTCATATTTTTGGATTTACGGGGATCCCTCAGATGAGGTAACCTATGATTGCTAACGAGAATTCACCGGTCTAAATGAGTTAATAGCTTGTTTAGATTAAATAAATCTAAAATTATTAGTGATGCCAGGATGATGAAACCGTGAGATCTTAACCGACATCGCTTAACATAAAATAAAATTGTCAATTTTCCTTAAACAACAACAAACACCAGTTCAAAACACATTGTCCAAGATTACATTAAATATTTGTAATAAGTTACTTAAAATATGTTCTCTCTTCTATCTCCCTTTATTTTGAAACAAGACAACGACACAGTCAAGTGATGATTCATCTTCGGGCAGTGGTTGAGATGACAACAGAAGGCAGAAGGAGGAACCTCATATGAACTTCCTAGACTTAAATAACATACACCCATAGGTCTTCGAGGTTATTCATCCGGTATGACGTAAATCCTCACACTATCTTTTAGGACTTCGTACGATTACATATCGTACGATATAAGTCCTAAAATATTTAGGCTTCTGAGGTTGTCGTTCGGTACGACATAAATCATTCTATTTTCTTGGGTCACTTACATATGACATGTTGACATAAGTCCCAAATATCTAAATAATTTATAGGACTGACATATTAAATATCTTTCCCTTCAAGATGTAAAGCTAAACTATAGTTTAGTTTGAGATGTCATTGAATCTTCTTCAGTATCTTCGACATCTCTTACTATTTATTTCTTTGTGTTCCGAAAATAACAATTCTACATTGAGCCATTCCTACTTGAATTTCCTATAAGCAATCGTGGAAGCTTAAACGTTGAATTCTTGAAGACGAAATTCCGATCTTAATCAAGAGTTTTTTTAGGTGACTTCATTTGCCTAAGATGTAATTAACTATACGGGTTTGCTTTATAAAGAATTAAAACTCAGATTGATCTAAATCCTATCTAATCAGTGTATTAGATAGGAGAATTTTCGGTTATAAAATCTGTAGATCAAAATAGAATTATAAACTTTTAAGTTTAAATAGTTAAGCCTACTAACAAGTGATACGCTTATGTCTCGAGATGACATATCATTTGTTATATCGTTCTCAGCTAGTTAAACTATTAGATATATGAAATCTATTTTGTCTTTTTGTTTTCCAAAATAAAGAGTATTATTTTCAAATTCAAAATTATATTATATATTAAATTTAAATTTAAAATTTTATTTTTCAAAAATCGACCGACGTTTTTTGGCGACTTCGTTGGAGACTAGTTCTTCTCTCTATTTAGATCAGGTGGATTTGTCTTAATACATCGGTAGTGTATCCATGGCATTTGTGGGTGAGACTACCATTATTCCATTGACATGCCTCACTCATTTTTCTTTGAGTAGCTTTTTTGATTTTGGAACTTTCTATTTGATCATCATTAAATAATGGTTCTGGAATCTTTAGATATTGAAAGTGGGATGGACCTCCAATAGGTATGGTGGGTTAGGAGTGGTCTATCGAAGCAAGTTCGTTGCAAAGTCAATCCCCTTCAATCTCAGATCGGGTCCTACAAACAAGTTAAACTAAAATTTCACTCTCACAATATTCATTTAAACTCTAAACAAAACAAAATTTCGTCAAAATTTTAAGGCATTACAAAACTTCTTAAAACATTGCAAATATACAATAATAAAACAAAGCACCAAAATTTGAAACAAAAAAAAAATCCCATAAATAAATTCTAAAGGACACCCAGTTCATAAAACAAGTGTGTTAGCTTCCGTACTTCCATTGAAGTTACAAAGCACATGACTTTACTAACTTTCAAAAATTCTTCTAATGACAGAGATGATGTCGTCGCTAAAGTTGATCTTCTCGCTCACTAAGGGACTGCCTCATGATAAAGCTGCCCGTTATGCAGTATTGTTGATCAAGTTCTGGACCGACTTCGACGAGTTCGGAGTCATTCTCGGCAAAGCGCCTTATGTCTTCTTCAAAACAACTGCCCCAATAATAGAAGAGCCTACAATTGAGTTTGACCTGAACTGCGAGCAAGGGTTTCCTACACTCAGGAAGTCCAAGGTCCGGGAGACTCCAACCAAGTCTGATGCTCCAATCGCCAATATCACAACTACACTAGAGGCCGACACAAAGAAGGATGATCATCTAAAAGCTCCTATGGTTGAAAGAAATTGAATCGAGGCTATGTTGGAGAGACTCCAAGCTGACATTACATGTTTGTCAGAAGAACAAAGAAAAGATAAAGGTGATGGAGACTATTATATGTCAGATTACACATAGGAAGAATTCACAGAAATCAACATCGTTGAGACGATGGCCACATCATCCTCGCGCGATGCTCCCTTACCCACCGAGGAGAACACAACGGGTGAGTTTCAAAGGGTCATTCAACAGCGGGATGAACATATCGGCTAGATGAAGAAGAAACTATAAGAAATGATGTCCGCTATGACAACGCTTCGGGGTCAACCTCAATCACAATAGATAGCAGCTCCAGTGGTGAGCCGGCTAGAAATCGTTCGTATCACAAGCAAAAGGAAAGAGTACACTTCCACTAACAAAGATGAGCAACAGAAAAGGAACTCAGTTCAGGGTCTAATACTTGAAAAAACATTAAACAAATGGTGAAACAATAGTTGAGAGAAGCCCCGATTCAATCAAAAGGAGGGGTATTGATTCTAAAGGGTAGACCCATACCCGAAGGAATTTGATGCCGTACAATATCCCTAGGATTTTGTACTACAGCTGTTCAAGACTTTTAATGGAACCAAAAACTCCCGACAGCATAATGCATATTTTCAAGCCAGCTATTGCAATGCAGGAGATGGTGATGCTTTGCTATTTTGACTGTTTATTAGCAGCCTTTCAAGGGTTGCTTTTGATTGACATGCAGAGGTGTCAAATGGTTTTGTAAAGACATTCTCATAATTAAAAAATCTTTTTGTTAAACAGTTTGCTAGAGCTTAGTACCATATCATCGTTGGTGATCTTGTGGTAGAGAAGAAAAAGCCGAACGAAACTCTGGTAAACTATATTCTGCGATGGAGAATTTTATGCATGAAGTGTGAACCGCAGCTCCAAGAGCAACATACGATTGAAATCTTGCTTAAAAGCATCCACGGTTCAGTAGCTTTTATGCTTAAAGGAATCACAATTAAAGCATTTGAGAAACTACTTAACAAGGCTGCAAGTTTACAAGAAGAGTCCAAACAACTTAAATTTCTAGAGAAAATTGAGAAGCTAAAACTAGTGAAGACATTTGAAAAGAAATTCAGGATAACAGCGGTGAACGAAGGCAAGCAGTTAAAGCAGATTCAGATCGAGCAGCCTTGATGGATCTATCAACATCCACAACAGTACAACCAGCAGTACAATCAACAGCCGTTTCAATAGCGGCCATATCAGATGAATGAAAGATAGGGTCCATCTACGGCCAAGTGAAGCAATATATTCTTTCAAAAGTGAAGCTGTGGCAAGGATGTTCCGAGATTTAATCAAGAAGCCCGAATTTAGATTGGCAGAGCCAAAGAAGTCAGACAATGTCGATAAGAGAATCACCCTAGATATTGCCTATATCACAGATTGCTTGGACACACCATCGAGAGTTGTATCAGCTTTAATGAGTTGCTCGAAAAGAGCTTCAAAAATGTGAACATAACGATTATGAAAGAGTATTTGAAAGAACCTGAAAGAGGTTCTATCAATATGGTTTCGGCTGATTTGATTGTTCTAATTGACTCCTACACAACTGATGGCAGATGAAATACAATTTGGGTGAAGCCTTTAAAGAAAATATTGTACCAAATCCAAATAGCTTCGATGCATGCTGCAATGCAGAGTTCGAGACCTCTTCCCTATTAAGAGATAGTAGGCTTCATTTTTTGATTGCTTCTATTAGTCTAGAGGGATATCAACAAGATTATTGCTACTTTGTCCCAACCCTCCCACCACAAAAAAATTAAGTAAAAAATGTGCTTGTCATTATTCAAAGTTCATCACTGTTCGAAATGGAAGGTGTTTTGTTGTCTAAATTTTACAGACAATAAAAAAAATTTAACTCTGATGTTCAAAGTTCAATCAAGAAAAAGAAATGATGCAAGATAAATATCTATGATTTCAGAAGAGAATAAAATTAATATCCTTATAACTGGGTCCTTCACTTTAAAGAATATGGACTGGGCTCAAGTAAGTTTCAAAATAAAAGTGTGCTTAAAATACGAGTAATCGACTCAAGATATCACAGGCCTTTTAATTTTCTGTCAAATGTTTGGGTCTTGATTTTTGAATGAACTATAACATCTCATAATTCATATTAAAGAGTATTTCAAAATTATTAATTAAGGGAGTCTAGACATTCAAAATCTTTAAAAGAAATATGTTTCATCAGATATAATAATTCTCAGAAAAAAAAGAGACATGAAAAGTTAATTTTTATGAAAGGTCAAAGAAAAGAAAAGATAAATTATATGAAATACCCATAAATTATGTGAAAAGAAGTTTCCTTGAGAAGAAACTTGAGGTGAGCATATAATAAAAAAATTGATGTCTGAATTCTCCCCTAATTAATAAAATTTGAAGAGCTCCTTTATGAAAATTCTTTCGATATTATATTCATGAAAAAAGTTAAGTGATCATGATCTCTTTGGTTGGCTATTAACTGACTCAAAAATACCTTTGGAAAAATGAAAAATAGTTTAATCACATGATCAAAATTATGAAATCTGCTTATGCTTAGAAAGAAAGAATTAAAGAAAGGGTTGTGTTATCAGCAATTAATGAAATTCAAACTTGAGGTCATATCTTTCAATGCCTAGAAAATTCTACTCCAATATCAATTCAAAGAATATTAAAGTGATTTCTTAAAAATAATGTGAACAGCCTTTAAAAATTGGTGATAAGCAAACGATGACTACTACGAATGGAGCTACAAATTGTAGCTTTTTGAGCAGCGATGTCTTTAAAATTACCACATCCTTATGTGTACTTGAAAGAATATAATTGTAATAGTACATCAAAGAAGTTGTTAATTTACACTTGCTTCCAGTCAACGGACGATACTTCGAGAAGTACTATGCATTATGATGTTTTAAAGAATGAATTTTAGAAATAAAATATGGTTCTCATAAACATTGATGTCACACTTGTCTAAAACTGGGTCCAAATCCTAAAAAAATGCAACAAAAAAAAAAACTCACGAAACTCAAATCAAAATAAATAATAAAAAAACATACATCAAACCACAACAAAATTAAACTCAACATCAAATTAAATAAGATGAAAATAATCAAATAAAATCACAACATTCTTTGCAAAATTTAAAATCTACATTGAAAATCTCTGCACTCACATTCTCACAGACATTTGAACAAAATTCCACATTGCATTAATTTCCGCAAACTCCACATAAACCTTCACAAGATTTAACATCATCTTTGCAAATTTTCACTATCTCTAAATTCACAAAATTTGGCAAATCTTCACAATTTAGCAACTTCGCAAGTCTTCGTATCTCCACAAATTTTTGCAATTTCGCAACACCTCTGCACTCTCTCAAAATCTCTACAAAACACTGCAATTACCACCATTTCATAAATTCTCGCATTCTAGAAAGGTGTATGACCCACAACTTGTAGTTTTATATGGGCGATTTCAAAAGTCAATTAAAGCTGACTTATTGAAGCTCAAGTCAAGTTTTCATAGGGATTTGAAAGCCATAAGGGGACCCCACAATGCACGACTGTTGACTTGTTGTCGAGAGCGGTCCGCTTGACTTTGGTTGTTGCTTATGCAAGAATCTGTCACCAATTTTGCTCGTTAAATGGCCTCGGCAGGACGAAATAATTTCATTTGATCCGACATGGCGAATTAAAGTTAAATTTGTGAGATCATCGTTAAACTTGTTCGGATGATCCCGAATGACGAAACAAACTGCACATGCGCATCCAGGATGTTGATTTTACTTAGAAAAGACATCTATATTGTTAGGGTTCCAATTTGAGTCGAATTGTGTGTAAATTGATGAATTTGAGTAAAATAATATTATTAAAATAAGAAAGGATTTTCTTAATAAAAAATAAACCCACTTCTCTTCCCTTTTGAATCCCTCAGACCGATTCTTCTCCTTCGGCTGACTCACCGCTCACCCTACCTCCCAAAATTTCTTCTCGGTTTTCCCGTCATCTTCTTTCTCTCAAGACCTAACCGGACCCTCACCGCCGGTAGCTTCCCCGGTAACTATTTGTTCCTGCTTAAATGCATAAGGTAACCTTTCTATGCTTAATTCTTGGTCGGTTTCTTGCCTTCAGTGGCATTTCTCCTCACCGCAGGTAGTCTTTCTTTCCTTTTCTTCCTTCTATAGCCGTTTAATGTGGTCTTCACTTTCATTTTAAATTTTATTTATATCTGTACTTTGGTAATTGAGAATTAAAGATGGAAGTTCTCAGTGATGAATTGATGGACTAACAGTTCTTTGCAATTTTAAATTATTGGAATATACATTTTAGTTTGATTATTTCTATGGAAAGGAAGTGATCCTGTATATAGCATGTGCATTAGAATATCTTCCTGATTATTGTTGGAGACTGGGAAGGCTTTATACTTTTTTTATGAAAAATTGATCATTATGTTCTTGCCTGGTAAAGGTTGAATCACCATTCACAATATTTCATTCTTACATCTTCTTTGATTGAAGATCAATGGATATATAAGCTTCATTTCTTGATAATTTTGGAGGTATTTTCTTTAATACGGAATACTTGGAATAGTTAGATCCTTCCCACATTTTGGTTTATGGAAAACCTTCGGTTCAGTTGTATGAATGGTGTTTCAATTGGCATTCCCCCTTTGAGGTAAGTTTTGCACATACAAATTTAGTGAAGTTTTACTGCCATCTGAATTGCTATCTCAAGGTTTCTTACTTTTTTCATTCTTGATCTAGCAAGCACCTGGAAGTAAAATTTTTGTCTCTTTTCTGGTTAATGGATCCATGACTCCTTGCCATACTATCTGTTGAGACACATTGTATATTGATATCTAATTAGTCAATTTATTTTTCTTACTTTCTCACGAGTCAGTTGAGATAATTTTGAAGTGATTAAAGGCATGCATAATCTGTTGATTTAGCGATTGTCTAAATGGAAAGGTGATTCAGTTTCTTTAAAGAATTCTTATGCCTGAAATCTTTAGAATAGCAAGAATTTTTTCTACTACTTTGTTTGCT